TAGACTTCATAAAATGTATAAACTTCATATAAATTATAAACTACATAAAACACATAAACATTAATGCACTGTGCACTTAAAAATGTACTGCATGCATAGAAATATACTGTATGTATAAAAATGCACTGTATGTATAAAAATGTACTTGTATGCATAAAAATGTACTGTATGTTATCATGCTATGTATGTATTGCAGATTTTAAACTGATTAAAATACATCCCAGATGCAAGAGATATCTGAGTGCTGAGACAATTACCCAGCCAGCTCCAAGGGATTTTAATTTCAATAAGTGCAAATCTACATTTATGGCTGCAAAAAGAAAGGAAACTGGAACATCCTCATTCCTTGGATTTTAAAAGAGGACTTATCAGTTTGCTCTGATCCCAAGTATTAAAAAAACACAACCACAAACACAATCAGAAAATACAATCTTGCATTGGTGGAATAAAAACTTGCTCCCAAAAGAAATAAAATCAGGAAATAAAAAAGCTTCAGGTATGGCAAAACTTGCAATTTGCGAAATTCCAAAGCAGATAGCTTTGCCAATTTTAGACCTATACAAAAATCCACAAGGTCTTAAATTATAGCTGAATATGCTAACTCACATTATTTTGGATCATATAAAAGTCATCAAACTAATTATAGGTATGCCATATTTGCACTTTTCCAAGCCTAACTTTTTTATGCTACGAATCTAAGAAACCTTCACCCAAGATTCTTTTCTCACTAATGCACAGGTTTCTGGTGCAAACAGTGACTTTAAAAACCTAATTTCTAAAAGCATGAATGAATTTAATTCTGCCACATGCATAAAAAGCACAGTGTAAACTTAAGTTTACATTATGAATAAAAATGCATAAGCTTAAATTTTAAAGTTGTATGAAATTAAATGTATGCATACAAATGTTTAAACTTTCCTTTATGTTGGGGAACTGCTGTGTCTGCTAGTGTGATGTGTGCCTCATGAATTGAGGTAGGCAATAATTTGATATATATTTTTTAAATATCCATAAGCTTGAAATTCGTAAACTACCGGGATTATTGATTCAGGCCATGACCTGGGTTCGACTGAGTCATTGATGGGTTCAGGCACTTGGACCAAACAGCAAACATTTGAACGCAGTGACGTGACTTGCAAGATAAACTTATTCGTCAAATAAATTATAGTCAGGTTATCACTCAAGTCAGTACAGTATATTATCCGCAAGAAAGAAACTCAATTTAAATGTAGGATTAATGGGAAATTTCTTGTAGTTTCATGAAAACTCCTTACTTATTGTCAGCGGTAATATTTTTTTCAATTTTCTAGATCCGTCTTAGAAAAACCCGGAGAATGACGCAAATCAAGATTTTTTTATAAATTAGGTTTTTTGCCAATTTTTTGTTCTGCATTTCAGTTTCCGACGCACACTACCTTGATTCATTAATTTTTCGAAGAAGGAAAATTGTATTTCGTACAAGTACAATAAATTGTCCTGGGGAAAAAAACGTTGCAAACTTATTCTCTTCCGCTTGAAAGGCTCAAGCAGGCGTGAAAATAAACAAGGAATGAGACGTGCCAATTTTTGCGTCGACGTTCATCACCACCATGAGAAACAATGCAGTGAAATTGGCATGTGTTTCCACCCGAATAATGCGTCAACGTTCAGTTCAATGGGCATAAAACTAAAGTGAAAGAGACTGAAGGGAGCAGAATTCCAGCAGAAAGAAGCTGTAAAATTCTGCAAGTATATTCGCTCACGGAACTCTCGTTTTTTATTTTTTGAAGCAGATACCGCGATTAAAATTTATAAAGTATTACATGCATGCATTGAAAATTGGGTTCAAGGTATTTAGCATGAAAAACTAATGCACTGCAGCAAATGCTTCTTGAAAGAATGCATCCATGAATTTATTTTCCAAAGAATACTGTATTTCAAAATAGACAGAGCTTCAGAGAGCATGAATTTTACCTATATACATAATTCTTCCAGCTTTCTCATTATTTGCCCAAAACACCCTCTCATCAACCCAACTTTTATCAAGAACTCAATTTTTGGCTGTATATATCAAAATTGTAGAGTAAAATCACAACTTTTTGGCATTCAAATTTACTGCATTTTTTTTACTAGATTTAAATGAAAAGTGAGGTTTTCTTTCAGATGTGAGAAACACTCAGGGTTATTTTGATGATTCCAGAATCTTCATCCATTTTTCACAAATTTGTTATTCTCTCTTTTAGAGAAATTTATAAATTTTGGATGAAAATAAGAGCATAAAAACATTTTCGGTATGAGTTACATACCTATATTATCACCTAGAAATTTTATTGTTAACTCTACCAATTGTATTGATTGTGTGGATGACACCAATATACTGTAGTATGATAACTATGTCATTACACTCCAATGAGATCTTCAGAAAATTAAAAGATTTAAATATATGTCTCTTGAGCCTTAATATTTTAATGCTCTACCATTTTATTGTATAGTTAATTTAGGCCTGAAAACTTCATCTGATGAGGAGATTTCTGTAGTACTTATTGCTGGGTTTATGTCAAGTGAATATATTCTTTAGTAGTTCCTTATAAAAGAATGTTAGTAGCTATACGTGCTTATTCTCACATGCAACAAGGATAAAATGACAATGTTCCTTGACTTGTAGCATCCAGTAAGCTAGCAATGAGCATGTATACATAGACAGGAGGATAAATTTATAGACTTTGCAGTCCAGAATTGGACAAGCCTGGTCAGACCTGGATCTGACCTTGTTTCAATGGCTGTATATTGTATAATTTGGCATTGTGTTTGACGTGGCAGAAAGCATCATGGAGGAGTGGAGGACAAGAAAGTATAGGAAACCTGCAACTGCTTTGAGAAACATCTGCTAGTAAGAAGGAGTGACAGGATTTTGATGACAACTTTCATGACTCATATGAGGGTTTGAGCAAAGGATTCAAAGTTATTGGTTTATTGCTTTTATAAATGTTTATGATTACATAGTATATTTTTTCTGCACTTGGATTATTTCCTGAAATGTCTCTCTTTGTTGTTTGTCTCCAAAATTTTCACACACCACATGTATTTTGAAATGTGTCAGTATAACTCAGTATAAACTTCAAGTGTCAGACACTTTTTCTGGGTCACTGACATTGTCTTGACACCTTCTATAAGTTCGAATTATTCTTTTTTTCGTTTCATGACATAACTCGAGGTTCAAGGAGAAAATGCTGGGATTCCCTCAACACCTGAGCCAAGGAAATGTCACCTCACACCCACAGTGGTGTTGATGTGAGGAGATCGGCGGAACCCGTGACCTATTTTCCACCACGAAGTGACCTGACTTAGGCACGTATAACACACAGATAAAGCTCAAGGTTGACTGAACCCTGTAAAAAAGTATATCAATTACAAAAATAGACATAGTGGTCTAACATGAACTAATGGTTCCCATCAAAAGTTTTTTTAGCTCTTAAGTTTTTCAACTGAGTTTGATTTTCCCATGAACTTAATTTGATTGAGAGCCAATTAATTCATTCCTGGTACCCAACCAAAATGCAATATAAAATTTAATGAAATAAGTAGGGACAACATTTCAATAAAAATGAGTTTCCTGTAGCATGCTGTACAATATACCACCAGTGTCTTAAAATTTCAATGTAAATTATAAAATGAACAATATATTCTGCAGTTCTGGAATTTTCTTCAAAATCTCCTAATACCTTACTATGTTTTCGCAAAATTTACTCAAATATTTTGCAATTCATGTATTTCAACTGCAATAAAAGAGATGCTCATGAAAAATATTCAATAGGAAATGTCAATTTCTTAAAAGTACAGCAGTACTTATTTATTTAATGAGCACGCAAGTTTTCTGCAGTTGAATGTTTCACTTTCTTCCAAGCAGTATTTCCCTAAAAAAAAAAGGTTATTTAGGGCAAATTTGTATGACAAAGTATTTTATTTACAGCAGCAGATAAGTGATACAGTATTGTATAATATGCAGCATTTAACCCCATTATATATGACACATCCTTGCTGTGAACTATGATATCCAAAAAAATCCTCTGTAGTATACGCATTTGCGTGAAAAACTCTTGAAAATTAGAAATGGATACGCAGTTTATGAAAGTACTGTACATTATTCAAACTGGAATATACTGTATATACACAGTGATGACATAGTATCCAGCATTCAACACGAGACCATCATTAAAAATACTCCTAGTAGTATGCAAACTCAATGGTCTGAAAATTACTACGCTAATTGCGGGAATGGTACTCATTTCATCACTGCTGAAGTTCACTCAAAATAAAGGTAACCTTATTTGCCAGGCATTGGGTCAGGTCACGCAGCTTGTCTAATGGGGTCGATGATGTAATGTTATATAGAGGTCGCTGGCTGACAGCCTGTACCCCAGTAATTTGTTTGTCACTTCCGTGGCCACTGACTCAATGTTCCGGAATCATGCCGTGCGCCTTGATCGTGCAATTGCGCTTGAATTTGCCGAGGTTAGATTGAGAAGTGCGTTGTATTTTGAATGAAAAATGCGTGTCAATATCTTATCCGTGAGACTGGCTGCGACCCTTTTGGTAGAGGTTATAGTATCCTCACCTTGGGACTGTTTTCCACCGTTGACGCGAACTGCGCCCCATGAATCCGCGTGAATGTGGCGATACGTTCTCCGTGACGCCCGAATTCCGATTTCGGCTTGCCCTTGGAAATTTTCTTCGTGTCCGTAGATCTTAAACTTTCGATTATGGTTTCCTGTACCTCCTTTGCCCGATATTTCGTTGAGGTCAGTGAGTTTAGCGACTATGTGGGGTATACGTGTTTATCGGGTCTCTGTTCCCCATCGTTTTCAAGCGCCGCATTCTGATTCATATTTAGTTCCTCTCCAGGTGGTCTGATGTGTAATTTTATATTGTTTGTGGATGACTTCATCGGTAATCTCTGGCGGAGGTGAAATATCAGATCTGGCCTAGTGCCGGAGAATTGCAATTAATTTTCGGTCGAGAAGATGACGGACAAGGTTACTTCATGGACCGAGTGGCTCAAAGATGCCATTTCAAAAATTCGCTCCCAAAAACAAAGATCCTCCGGCGAAAGAATCGCTGCCGCTCTGAGGATTCAGTATCCTCAATTTGGTGTTGGGGAAGTTCTTCGACGTTTGGACGAGTGTGTGAAGCGAGGTCAGCTGATTCGGCTGAGCATCAATGGCCAAGTTTCTTATCGGGATGCGAATGCGAAGTCGAGAACGTTAATCATTCGTAAGGGTGATGATTTAACAAAGGTAAAATTTTCAGAAGGCGTTACTGAATTCCTGTCGAAAGCCTGATGCTACTTTCTCCTCTCTTAGTTACTCGTTCGGAGTATGCGAGAGCTTGGTGGCACGGATGGCCAGCTTCTGAAGAGCATAGCTCAGTACATCACAACCTCCAACAATGTCGTCATGGAATCAGGAGCCGACTTGAATCTACAGCTTCAGCTGGCTGTCAAGAAAGCTTCCACGAAAGGTCTCGTGAAATTGGATGGCCGGCTGCTGAAGCTAACGAAGCTTGGCTCCATGGGACCCAAGAAAGCCAAAACGAATGGTCCAGGTTCTCCCGCGTCGCCACTGAAAAGACCGGAGCCGAAGGTGGCTGCTCTAAAAATTGAAAATTCACTAAAATATCTAAATTTTATTCATGGGCGTGTTCACAGAAACCGGAGCCACTCGGCGTCTGCTACATTTGCTGGGGTATTTCGAAACCGCAACCGCTGGACGATCAGGATGGAAGATCATCTAAGAGCCGAAAGCAGTTGCTGTCCTGCGATGAGTGCGGGTCATCGGCACATCCTAGATGCCTGAAGTACGACGAAGAGACTACTTCTCTTCTGCAGGACACTGTTTGGCTCTGTGACGAATGCAAGCAATGTTCGATATGCTTAGAACGTCGTTTTGAAAACGTACGTATATTTTTGAAATTTTCCTTGGGCTCCACGTTTGATCCATTATTCCTGACGAGATACCGTGTGTGATTTATTTTGGCATTCTCGTGCAGGTCTTACGCACGCATTTATCCTCTTAACTATTTTGTTAATCCGTGCTAGATTGTTCTATTCTGTCTGATGAGCGTAACATTTTTCATTGAAAAACCCCGTCGTAACCAGGAGCCGTTGATCGCATGTAAGCGGTGTGATCTGGCGTTCCACTTCGCTTGTGTCCATTTACCCGGAGCAACGTGGCGGAAATTTCGTGAACACGAAACAAAGCATCGTCGAGAACGAGGAGCGAATGGTCGAGAACGTTCGCCGGGTGAAGAAGACGACGACTTGGATGACGAAGAACCGGTGACTCGAGATAAGTGGTTTTGTGCGACGTGTTCCGGCCGCGATCCTGAGGCGCCGTCGGCCGCCGGGAAGAACAAGTTGCGTTCCACGCGTGACCGCCGTTCTTCGGGAGTACCTGATTCCGTGGACTCGCTGGGGTCTGAAGAGTCCCGTGGCTCGACGACTCGTGGGCGCCCTCGGACTTCTGCTGGCGGCGGTAGTCCGACGAGAGGCAGTGCTGTGAAGTGAGTGATTCTGCGCGGAAATCGTGTCGATTCTGTCCACCCGTTGGAAATGTTCTTTATGTGCTTGTGGGCGTTATTAGGTAATATCTCTCTGTATAGTATGTAATTTCAAATCGGATCTCCAGTTGTTGCGAAATGACGTTCATCGCGTGGTCGTTCGAAAATGCAGTTGGATTCTCTCTAGAATGAAATGCTCGAGACCAGAAAAAAAAAAAATTCGTTGTAGAGACCCCTCTATAACTCGGGAAGAGAACCATATGGTATCACGATACATTCGTTACGCAGAGATAATCTTTGTAGACAAGCTCGTTATGGAGAGAGTCCTCCTGTATTTGTTCGGACTTGATTCGTAACATTTTTTGGTGTTGCAGAACAATGAGGAATTACTCACTGTGCTGTTGATGAACGATTTGTATTTACAGATGCCGGTCTTTAAGTAACGAACGCGTATGCTCTTTGACTTCGAACTGATCGCTTATTTTACTTCCGATTTTCGTCTGTAATTCAAATGATCCCGGAGACAGTGGTGGAGCAATTTTTTTTGCGCCTTGTTAGTTCAAGGTATTTGTTAAATGTTTCTTACAGCAGTAATGTACTGGAAAACTTGAATGTTTTCTACGTATTTTATCGCGATACTGAGGGGTTTCATCTTCCCTAAACATTTTTAGGATGTTTTCCGCATTCATCTTCCTGATGGGATACTCTATCCTTTAATGAACGAAGGAAATGCGTACATTGAATAAATTGATAATGTGTAATAATTAAGCGATATTTCTAATTTTTGAGCAATTTTCGCGGTAGGTTCTGTCGATGCAGTTTTTTGCTGGATGAAAGTAATGCAGTACCCGCTTTCGTGTTTGATGATTTGATTCTCCAGCAAGAAGTTGTATGCAAGTGTTCTGTTCGTTCGGCATGTGTTTATGAAGCTGATTTTCAAGTTATGCAACCACTGCTTCTCTTGAAGAGGTTTATTCCTACTACCTGGTAGAGGAAGCTACTTGATCGCAAAAACATTTCTTTCCTGTGTGTCCTTCTGTACGAGGTACTGTACTTAACGAAATTTTCCAATTTTGTTTTGAAGATTAATGGTACTGTAGTAAATTTCACTTGGTTCCGTTTGAGCTGTTTTTCGACTCTGTCTATCCGTTCTATTCAACTGAGCATTTTCAATTCTTTGCCTGAATCTTAATTTTCGTGAAGTACTGAATGTCCCTGGGGAAAACCTCGTATGAAAACAGATCATTGCAAAGCCTCCCTTGATTTTCTTTTCCAGTTCTGGGAAGGGCAATCGACCGAATTCGCTGGGAAAAGTGGACCGAAAACCCACACGGTTGCGTGAGAATGCGAGTGACGACGCCTCTACTGGTATTGATACAACACCGAAATCGACCAGTGTTCCTGAGAATGTATCTTTGACGATAGAACCGATGGAACTTTTGCGACCACCCAATTTGCCGTCGGGTGTAACAATGAAAGACTATGCGTTGTTCCGGCAGGCGCAAGAGCTCGCCGCAAAGGTGTGATCCCTTCTCGGAGATATTTATCCTGAAAAATCAGCAATCAGATCGTCATTATATTCTTCGATTTCCTGAGCATTGAATTTGTTAGACTTGATTTGGTTATGTGTTTTTCGCATAGGCAATGAAAGCAATAGATCTGAATAATCCTACATCGCTGTCGGAGAAATGTTGTCCCGAGTCCATCCAAATCGGGAAGTTTGATCTTTATACGTGGTATTCGTCGCCATATCCGCAAGAGTACGCAGGGTCAGTAATTCCTCGAGAATTATCTTATGGGGAAATTTCTTATTCGGATATTTTTCTCGTTTTCTTTTGTTACAGGCTAGAAAAGTTGTACTTGTGTGAGTTCTGCTTGAAGTACATGAAGAGCAAAACTGTGCTTTATCGACATGTAGTCAAATGTCCAACTCGACATCCACCTGGGACAGAAATTTATCGGAAAGGGGACGTGTCTGTGTTCGAGGCAAGTAGCATATTCGTTAGAGGTTCAGATTTATATGTCCTGCACCCTCAAGTGAGATGCGAATTTTAATTTGTTCGGACGGAAATTTGTGGATAACCCAAAAAATTCCAGCGCTTCCACGTAAATAATTTTTAAAAATAAACTGTGTACAATGGAAGTTGAAATCGAGTTGTTTTTATGTTAATAGGTCAATGTCATTATTGAAGCTGAAGTACTGTACTTTGAAAATTAGTATCTGAAGAAGTTTTATGAATGAAGGAACAGAACACTTTATTTGCTGCTTTTCAGCATTCACAAGGTTCAATCAAGATTTCCACAACCAAACCCCCTTCCCACCCAACCCAAATCCACTCAATGACATTTTAATCACTTCAGAGCAGGAAAGCACAAAATGATAACAAAAATAAAAGAAAATACAGTACAACATGAAATACAACTAGACATCTCACATGTATGCATACACCCATTCATTCCCTGACATTGGTAACAAAATATATGTAAAAATTAATTTAAAGCATAAGGTCTTTAGCTTGTTTCTGTTTGAGGTTTAGTTGAATGAAAAAATTACAGAGAATCTTTGATGAGAAATCATGTAAAGCCAACAGTTTATCTTGATCCTTTAAGATTTCAGAAAGGGTCTCTTCATTGAATTTCAGTATTTGTAAATCTTTCTTAAGCTTGTTTCTATCAGTATGAAAAGCTGGACATAAGAAGAGAAGGTGCTCTGGTGATGTACAAACTAATGTACACATTAAGAAGTTTTAATAATTCATAGTTATAATTGCACCCGAGGACCCCTTTGAGAAGAAGTTCACTCAAAATAATAACCCTCTCTCTTTTTTCCTGTTTTCATCTGATTCTTCTGGACGTTTCAGGTTGATGGAAATGCAAACAAGCTATATTGCCAGAATCTTTGCTTGTTGGCAAAGTTGTTCTTGGATCACAAAACTCTTTATTATGACGTGGAGCCTTTCTTATTCTATGTGCTCACCAAGAATGACACAAAGGTGAAGTATTTTGTTTTTGTTGAATGGGTTATTCGAATGGTAATTTCAACGGAATTTTTTTTATTCAGGGTTGCCACTTGGTTGGGTACTTCTCGAAGGAAAAACATTGCGCTCAAAAATACAACGTTTCGTGTATCATGACGTTGCCGCAGTACCAACGCCAAGGATTTGGCCGATTCCTGATTGACTTCAGTACGTATTGTACAATATTTCATTTCGTTTCTCAACTGAGAGCTCACGAAAATATTTTTATGCTTTGTAGTGATTGTAGAAAGAATAACGCTAAACTTCGTTTGTTGTATGCTATTTGTTTCTTGGAAATTTTTTAATTTGAAGAAGGACATTGATTTTCGTGCTTCGACCTAATCTTCTTACGTTCTTTGTACTTTTTAGGTTATCTGCTTTCGAAAATTGAACTACAGCCTGGTACTCCGGAGAAGCCGTTGAGTGAACTAGGCCGGTTATCGTATCACGCCTATTGGAAATCCGTTTTACTAGAGTACCTTTTTGCTCAACGCGGTCAGCCGCATGTTCGAATCTCGGAAATCATGAAAGAAACTGGGATGCATCCCCAGGACATTGCGTACACTTTTCAATTGCTGAAATTTCTCCGGAAGGACCGAGTCGGACGGTACGTTGGAAAAGAGCTTATTGATGAAAAATGAAATTTTATTTTTATTTGGCTTTTTGTTTCAACTTTTGACTGTTGGTTTTGCCTTGATTGTATACATCCTGGTGCATGATCTGAATACAGGTGAGGTTCGTGTAAAAAAAAAAAAGTACTCCTGAAATGTGGAAAATAATCTTGGAGAGTAGCCCTTCAGAAATTAAGGTATAGCGCATCCTGTAAAACATATTGAATAAGCGTTTCAAGTGCTTGAATTGAACATGACCTACATGTGTCGACGAGCAATGAACAGATGAATATCTGAAGAAAATTTGGAAAAATCGTGAAAGCAAGAAAAGTACCATGTGCCGAAAAATGGGATTCCAAGTTTTTTTTAATCTCCCAAAAATGTTCCGCTCTTGCACTCTCGTGTTATTCGTTCAGATACGTATTATTTTATTTTCTTCTTGAGTAAAAACTTGAAGAATCAAGTTGAAATCATTCAAAGACTCGTTAATTTCGAAACTAACGTTTTTGTAGAAAATGCTTCGGAATAATGTTAGCACACTTTCAGAGAAATGCTGCAATCTTCAAATTACAGGACATTTTTCGCCTCATCATGCAGCGTGCTTAGGAAATGCTTGAAGCGGTAAAAAAGTCTCCAAACAGGATGCAGAAAGCAGTAAATTTTCCATAGTTTGACTGGAAATATTTGTGGCCGCGTGAATTGGAGACAACCTTCGTTCATCCGACTCTTTTTTCCATATTTTCATTGAAATTTCTTCGAACCTCCCATTTTCAGGATTGTGCTGTGTTACGAGGACAAACGCCTGGACGAGCACATGCTGAAGCTGGCCAAGATCAGTCGTCTCACCGTCGATCCGTCGGCGCTTCGCTGGACTCCTCTGATCTCCCCGATGGAAGAACCCGACGATGACGACGAAGACAACGTGTTGGCGGAAACCGAGTCCGGCGAGCGAATAGACGACGAATTGCCGCTCGTTAAGGCGTCCAGCGACGGCACGACGGATTCGGACGAGTCCCGGAGTCGTCGAAGACGGATCATCCGCCGCGTCGATTTCACAGACTCGAGGAAAAATGCGAGGAGAGTTAATCGCGGTGGTTTTGTGCGAACAGCGTCTTCGGGCCGGGGTGCTTCTAAGGTTGAAGAAACCAACGGGGTTTCTGAGAAGGTAAGCAGCGTCGATGCTCCAAGAAAATATGTCTTGCACCTCTTTTTTTTTTTGTAAAGGAGGTTGTGGTAAAAGCCAGGGAAAGGTCTAATTTTCTTTCTTTAAAGATGTGTTTTCGTCTCATTTTCGTTCAGTATTCACGAATCAACGTTGAACCTGCTCGTACCGAGTTTCTATATCTATGACGTCACTGTGCAATTGAAAAGGCAGTCGTTTGAAGTTTTTTTTTTTTTTTTTGCGTCGGTCGTTGAATCGGATGCATGGTTAATTCGACGCACTGCGTCATTCGAAATTTTGTGAAGATGATTTGAAGCAGAAGTAATCATTGAAAATATATGTACTGTAAAATGCTTGTCACAAGAAATCGTATTATAACGAATTCTTTCTTGGTCCTTTCAATTTTTTCTTAGGAACAGTGATTTTAAAAATTTCGTTTCAACAAACTAATTTTCACCAATAATCTCAGTACTATTTAATAAAATTTTGCCTTGATTATGCGTGCACGAGCCATAAGAATTGTAATAATTTCAAAAATGATGGAATCCAACTTGTGCGCCATTAAAAACCGTAAACAATATAAGTTGTAATCCTTCTATGCAAAAAATTTAGGATCATTGCAAGAAGTACCGATGTGAAGCATGATCCTCTTCTCAGAATTTTTCCAGCTTTATTTTTGAATTTAGAAATGACTATTTAAAAAAACATTATGCTTGAAGAAATGCTGCCCATTTTCCGGGAATATGCAATTGCTTATATTTTAGCAAGATCAGTAATTTTTTGGAAACTCAAGCGAGGGTTGGTCTAAAATGAGGCATTGTTATCGTATTTCAAATTTTCTCTATTATTTCACGAAACGAGTTGGAAATCGCGAAAATTCTTCTCATATCTGCTGTGGAAGTACAGTAAAGTAATTGTTTGTTTATTACAAAATTTTAATCCTGAATGCTCCACAAACCATGAATCTCATGATGACGAATTTTTCACCTTTCTCGGGGAGTTCGTTATATCGAGATTTTACTGTATTTCGGTGCTCTCGTAGCGTGTGAACGCAAGAGAAAAACTCAGAAGCAGATGAAACTTGGATTGACGCGATCAAAAATCAAAATCCGATCTTGACTGCAAGTGAACGCATTTATGCACTCCGAAAGAATTGGTCACAGTCACGCTCCGAATATTCTTGGAAAATTCGAAATACTCACAACAGTTCATAAATTTCATGTTGCGAAGTAACGAAAATTGTGTATGAACTCTGTCTACTTTCCTATTAGAGGTACTGTTTCAGGATTCTCGGAAAATCCCAGTACTGAGAACAGTATCTGACAAAAATATCTGTATTTACTCGAGCACCACGCGCACCTTTTTTCGTTAATCATGTGTAAATAAAAGAGTGTGTGCGTAATAGGCGGGTATACAATGTTTCAGCATTTTCTAAGGTTTAGATGCTCGTCTTACTTGATCCTTTTGAACATTTTTACAAGTTTCAACGAACACAGTATTTCCGTTGGAAATTATGGGAAAATTATTATACGTGGGTTCAATTCGTAAACGTTTTGAACTTTTGATTTTGATGCATTCAAATTTCAGATGTTTCTCCTATTTTATTTGCTAAATATGGGGTGCACGTAATTTTCGGAAATAGGATTTAATCACATTTAAGGACCAGAAAACCATGAGCACGTCTTTCTCGAGGGCACGTTGTACTCGTGTATATACGAAGGTTGGTTCGTAAGATTTTAAACTTTTTGAAATAGAGCGAACAGGATTTTAGCAATTCAAATTGTTTTTTGTTTTCCTCGCATATCCCCATCATTTGGCAACACTTCAGTGCACTTGAACAAACAGTACTCTCCGCCAATTTCAATGCATTTTTAATGTAATAAAAATCTAACGATCAAAACAGTGGCAAAAATCGAGTTTCGTTAGTTGATTAAGCTGCTCCTTGACGGAAGAAATGAGGCTGTCCCTGTCCTCAAAATAAATCCCATTCAGGTCGTTCTTCACAGCAGCCAGAAGTCACTGTGTGCCTAATAAACTAATAGAACTTGATTTTTGGCAAGTAAAAACATTTTTTGGAAATTGTTGAAACTTCACAGGATCTATTTCAAAAAGTCTCAAAACTTATGAACCAACCCTCGTTCGATAGTAGTTCATACGTTCTCTCATTTTCGCACAGTATAGTATCAACATTCGAAACGTACTGTATTTTCGTTGCAGAAATCAAGATCATTGTCTCGTGGGCGGAATCCTTCAGCCCAGGATTCCCTTTTGACCGGTCGAAACCGCAGCAGTGACAGTCAAGCAGCTCAAATCAGCTATTCCGACGAGGAAAACGCTGCGCCTTCCGACAGCGGATCAAGGAGACGGAGTCTGGCCCAGGCACGAAGTTCCGTCGGTCGCCGTGCTGCAACATCATCCGGAGGAACAACAACAACAGCAGCAGCAGGTGCTACAGCTAAGCAAGACCAACAAGTCCCGCTGCTTCGCGTCAAAGCCCAGGGAAAGGGCAAAGGCAAGGGCAAGGGCCAGTCGATCGACATGACGTCGAATCCCGGGGCGGCGGCGGCGACGACGCGACGGAAATGCTCCGTTCCTGCTCAGGACGCCAAGGGAAACGCGTCGCGCGGGTCTTGGCGGTCCTCGGAACCCCAATCGTCTGATTCCGAGTACGAAGAGCATAAAGAAGATGACCTCGGGGTTCACGAACTGGATCCCGGCCCGAGCACGTCCGGCTACCTGCCGCATTCGGATCGTGGGAAAGGCAAGGGTAAAGGGATCGAGTTGCGCGGCGGGAATGAAGTGAGTGCGTCTGGTGGGGAGGACCCGGATGCGAGTGCGTCCGAGAGCGTGTGTTCGAGTGCGGACTCTGTTGCGATGACTGAGGGTGTGTATAAGCCCTCGGGATCCCCGGATATCGACGCCATGGCCAAGAAGAAACGGGCCAAGACGAACGTGTTCAAGCAGATCACCTTTGGTCGGAGGAAGAAGAAGCGGAGGAAGATTTCTGAATATCCCTCGCAGCCGGGTGAGAATTTGATTGAATAAAGAACTTTAATGCACCAGAATCTCGTTTTAAAAAATGCATGTATGGCCTTGAAAGAAAAGCTTCGTTGAAACGAAATTAAAAGAGCATTGTGGCTATTGAACAGGAACCGAAAAAAAATCGTTACAAGCATTAATTCGTTATAACGAGATTATAATGTACAGTGAAATTTCTTTACAACGAATCTCCTCGTAACGATTTCTTGTCTTGGTCCAAGCAGTTTCTGCAGTGGTACCTTTTAGAAAAAATCTCATTTTAACGAACTCACTTGAAGCTGTTATCTCCGGATGACGAATTTTTGGCCCTGATTCTGTGCTTAGGCCATGGGGATTATTTGATGAGTGGCAGAAAAGTGGAAAAAAATTAAGCTGATGCTACATTCCAACTTTATTCAAGAAGCAACGCGTTTAGGGTTTTAAAAAAATACCTAACATGACATATTTCTTGGAAATCCTTCAAGTCCATTTTAGAATGTATGCACTTCCCTCAAGTAAACAGTATGTAAGAAAGAATTTTCCCCTATTTGAAAGAAAAGGTGTGAACGAATAAGTTGATTGAAAAGGGCACATTTTTCATCGCATTACAGTATATCATTCTGGTTTATCTTAGATTGACTATGCAAGCTTCGGAACGAACTTCTTTGTGCTACGAAGAAAAGAAAGTGTCTTCAACTCCTGCAAAATATTATTGCCTTGCTTGTATGATTCGTCTCTTTATTGTTCTCGGTACCACGACCATGTCCATATATTGTCTTTTTTTTTTACCCCACGCATGGGTTTTTTTCTTTAAATATTACGGTACTACAATTTTTCACGCGTTTTTTTTAGTGATGCGCTCAGTTCTTATAGGTTTTGTTAGCGTGACGAATTTGAATTGATTATTTTCATGACGGCTACATAAATCCCACGGGTCCATACTTAACATATTTTTACATTTTGCATTTCTTGTGTTTTTCATTGGGTCAGTTTCGGTCAATATCAGTTATTGGATAACTTACGTCGCTTCAGGTTGTTGATGTTGCTGCGTTCTTGACACGAGTGACACCTGCCTGAAAGTTAGAAAACCAGTCTGTGTGCGCAAGTGTGAATCTGTTTGCGAGAATGTTCTTGAAATGCTGTAGCTTCGATCGATTTTTGCTTGATTGTCAATGCATCCTTTCCCAGCGTCAGCCAAGAAGGAATCCGAAAGCTCACACCCACCGAAGAAACCCAGACGACTCGTTGAACCAGACGGATCGACGCGAGAACGCAGGGAAAGTTTGCGTGCCCGAGTGAACCCGGATGACAAGCAAGAAGGTGTCGAAGAACCACCTCAGCAGTCGGCGAAACGGAGACGATCTTCTGCAGAGATTCATGGTTCGGAAGGTGTGGTTTCAAGTCCTGCTGCGGACAGTGCTCCGGAAACAGCAGTTGACGGCCCGTGTACGAGAAGGTCGCAGACGACGTCGTCTTCGTCCCAGGTTGTCCCTGCCGAAGCCACGACGAAGGTCAGTTTAATTTTTTATGACGTTTTGATGGTCATCTTGATAAGTGGTCTGCGAAGTTTTTGCCGAATTTTCTCCAGCATGATAAATTTATCGAATTTAGTAATGAAGTCTGTTAACTTGAACTTAAATTTCGGAAAGACAATGGCAGTTTAAAATATATGATGAAAAATAAGAGTCGGGTTTTCTCCTAACATCACTTCAGACAAATTTTCAGGTCCTGAAATTAATCAGTGTGTTTCAAGTATTCACTCTGAGAAACCTTTCGGAAAGCTCAGCTTTAAAATCTTCCGAATACGTGCTTTATTTGGTTCTTAACTTGCTTTCTGCAATTGAAGTTTTGGTTGGAGGACTGTACGGCAGGGATTCAAAAATGTCTATCGGTCTGCAAAGATTTTATGGAACTTCGCCGCACCTCGAAAAATTTTATGGAAATTTGCCAGTCTTCAGGACTTTAATTCTTAAATTATTCTAAGGTTCGAGAACATCCCGTGAATTTTTGTGAATGATGTTTCAGCTGTTATAAATTTAGCCAATGTAAATTATTTACAGTAATAACTGGTCCTTTCGGACTAAATTTTTTGTACAGTATTATCTAGGAAAGGTTCGGGAACACTGATCTTGACTGCGTAACATTTATCTCCGTGAAATGTTTAGTGAATGTGGGATTTCCCAAGACTTGTTCGTCGAGTGATCCTTCTATGCTACCGCATCTCTTGTATATTTTCTTTGAAAAATTTATTATTGAAAAATGTTTTCATTCTTTCCCGGCGCAACAAAACTTTCCATATTTGCTCAACTACCACGCAAGACGAGGGTTTTTTGTTCGTTCTACCCTGAATTCCCGAAATTTCAGTGAGATGTCTCGTTAATCCAGAGCCTAAACATTTGGGACGAATTCAAGTTTCAGTTGCATTGAACCATACGAAGCGGTATTTTAGGTGGCACTGATAAACGGTAGATTTTAAAATCTCAAAGAAAAAATCAAGCGTGAGTTATTTTTCCATGATTTTTTTGACAACGAGTACCGTACATTGCATTGAATAAACTAGAAAATTATGAAACCCGGGAGATAGACCACATTTTCCGAGAAATTCTTGGCAAATTCTCAAAACATTTTCGTGCATTTTGGAATTTCGCTTGTCTGAAGCAGAGGCAATCTTTTTTATTTTGTATTTTTACTTCTTGCATTACAGTATATTCGAATGATGCTTTAGGATTAATTAACTATATGATTCATGTGCGATATGTATATAAGTTGTTTTGGCTACCGCAGGAGAGGAAGTCTCGTCGAGTGAAATCTCAGAAAATTCCGCCACCTGCAGCATCTGCAACTGAAGCCATTCCTAGCGGAGAACCTGATAAATCTGCGTCTGGAGCTGAAAGCAAAGGAATCAAGTGTGACAAGAAATCCGTCAGTGCAGATGATATTTCGGCGCATGAGCTTTCACCTGGTTCTCTAGTTTCCAGAAAAAGAAAACGCGAGGTAATCATTGTTGCGAACATTTTTCGAAACGTTCACCATTTCTCCTTGTGTAGTGCGTTAACTCGTCATTTTCACTTGACTTCGGGTTATTTTGTTCGTATTCAACGCATCTTGTGAGTCAAATCCAACCGATTTCCGATTGCTACATCTAGCTACAATTTTCCACAATTGTGCATCGACCATGACAATGCAACAAATTTCAACTCTTTTTAGGCACAAAAATGTGTGACAGAAACAAAAATAGCTATAAAATTGTAATTTTAACCCAGCGCATACACGCTGAATTTAATCGAAAATTTAAAGGCGAATTCTTTGAGCATTTCTACAAGAGATTTAACATGTTTTTATATCAACATGTTAAATCTCTCGTCGAGAATTTTCGAAAATGGGCTGATAAAATACAATATGCGTATAGTATATGCATATACAATATGTGTATAAATAAGATTTAAATATCGAGAAAAAAGTGATTCAGTGAAAAATGTTTTCAGTTTGAAAAATTTTATTGATCAAAAATTCACAAATTCTGAAAAGAAAACATTTTTTGACGTCATTTTTGAAAATTTTTCGAGTTTCAATTTTGAAGCACAGTACAGTATATAGTTTAGGTCTGTGAAAGATAGATGAAAAGCAAAGTTTTTTAAGGGACATGAAGTTGTGTATTTTAGGAACTTCAGAGCTTGAAATAGTCTGGAGTAGTCAGCATCACGCAAGTTGTGTACGAGTAAAGTTTTTTACGGTTTCAAACTCAGAATTGATGACTTGTTGAAGGTGGGTACGATTTTTTTTTTTTTTTCGTTTTAGAAGTTCACGTGTGCATGATAGTTAATCCTAATGGGGAAATTTTGCACCAATTTTAATATAAAAGGTATGGGGAAACATGAATTCATCTTCAATTTTTTTTTCTACATTCAAATGTGGGTTTTCTTACTTTCAAAGTACAATATTGCCGTTTTAGAGTCACGAACGATGGGGTGAGCGTCTAATTTGGGGATACAAGTTGTCTCAAAATTTTAGCCTGAAAAACCCAGAGGCGTGTCTTACTCAAGTGCTTGTGGTATTTGAGTTGATATGGCATGTTTTGTGGGTTTCAGGAAAGAGTGGAAAACATTTTCCATCTATAAATCCTGCGGAATGTTGCTTCATTAGGAAAAAAACTCGTCCTGGAATGGGTTGGTTTTTGTTCCGCAGAGACACTTCAAACCACTTTAACGAGTGTGTATTCTTTGGTATGAGAAAATTTTGGGTTTCGCAGTGAAAATAAAAATGTATATGGAAGTACTGCGTACGAATGTGTACAATACAGTACAGTACTGTTTGATCTGTATGTAACGCGAATTGAGAGGAAAATTGAGTTGTCCTGCGGTTCTTCTTATTCTGATTGCATTTGAAATTCATCCTGGGTTTAATGATCATTCCAGCCGCTGCCGGAAGAACATCCCCCGACTCGAGTCTCGTCCCGGATCCGAAACCGCGAAGAAGCGCTCGCAACCAAACGCGACGAACCAGATAAAGACGATGCCACGGAAAATGCGGAACCCTGCCCGAATGACGTCGAAGACGGGCCACGTCCAACCAGTCCTGAAGTCAAGAAAGACGCTGACGAAACGAAACCACCGGCTGAATCGAAGGTGGAGGCAGTTCCGGAGCCTCCTTCTATCGAAGTTCCGCCAGAGCGAGAAGAATCCGATGAGAAAATCATCAAAGACGAGGAGAAACACGAAGAGCGAAAAGAAGAAGAAGAAGAAAAAGTCGTCAAAGTCGAGGAAGCCCCGTCAGCGCAGATGACATTGCCACCGGAACCAGAGGCACCTTCGGAAGTGCCTGAAGCTCCAGTCGCTGAATTGCCGCCTTCAGAGGAAGATCTCTGCGATGAGCCGCCACCGAAGGCGACTCTAGAAGACGCGTCTTCGTCGAAAACCTCGCCGGAAGCTGAGAAGAGCGAAGATTCCTCGTCGTGTCCGGCGTTGGACGATGGTCCAGTTTTGAGGAAGCGTGGTGACGACGCAGACGATGGTGGCTCGGGGCCCGGGATCGACAAGAAACCCGTCGAAATGTCTCATGACTTTGAGGTTCTGGCGCAACCCGGTGGCATCATTTTGGATGACCGGGATTTGAAGGTGGGTCAGATTCCGGGTCCGACAACTGGCTTGACCAATGGGACCAACGTCACTTCGCCTACTCAGGTGGGTTTTTTTTTATGTTTATAAACCTGCTGCGGTTTATTGTCTGTTCACTGAATACTCTGATTCGAAAAGGATCCATTCATTCATTAATTTTGTTTTGATGATAGGAGTGTCGTGAAATTCTGCTGATGAACTCGGTTTTCATTGCAAATTCGTTGGAAAGCAGAGTGGCGAACGAGGTGAATTTATTTCTGAGGGGATCTGCAAAAAAAATCATGAAGGCGGATTACTTTCAAGCTTTTCTGCTCATGCATGCATACGAGTATGACCTGCATCCTCCTTTTTCGTATCAGTATTTTTTTTTAGCGAAATGCAGGGAAATACTGTATTCACTTTCCCTCTGCTTGGGAAATTCTTGAACCTATTATTATTATTTTTATTTATTTTTTTGTGGAAGAGTCCTCAGTTTCTGTGCCGGGATTCGATTTTTAAACGAAGTCGAAGTCATTCTACAATATCGGCGTTCATGTTCAAAGCCGGTAAAATACTGTGCAGTACTTCAAAATAATCCGTGGTTAACATATAGTGTTTTCCGTTAAAGATGAAAACCTTGCTCGTCATAAATCGGATTTTCGTAGAAATCTTGGAATTTTTCGACCAGAAAGGGAATTTTCAGTACTCTCCTGTTATCTCAGTACCTACTTTCCGTGCACCTACCAGAAACTGTGAATTTAATTTTTCCGCTTTCTGCTGAAACTGATTTTGGGAGGCGGTTAGGTGAAGTTAGGTTAGGTCAGGTTATTTTAGTTACAAGTATCCGAATTTTCTTGGACTGAAACCAAATGAGTGAATTTTCTCACGAAGAAATGTCGACCACTATATTACACATCTATGCAATTCGTGGAAGTTCACTTTTTGATTCGACCTATGAACGAATGATTTGATTCAATCACTGAGTTTTTTCCAAACTTTTTTCATGTTTTTCCAGCGTAATAAAGATCGTTAAATGATCTCGTTGGTTGGTTTCAATCGCTCAGTATTGGTCGTCATTGGTTTTTTTCCGGATCTGTTGGAAGCTCAATTTCAAGGCTGTTCCAGTTGATTTAAAAATGCTGTATATTTTGACGCCTGATTTGAGCCGGTACACGAAGTTCTTCTTGAATTTAGGGGCAATGAAGGGACTTTTTTTTTTTTTCGAGGACAAGAACTTTCTTCATTTCGAGGACAAGAACTTTCTTCATTTCCTTCAAAATACAGCCATCGTAGTTTTTTCTTGAAACGGTTATTCCGTGAAGAAAATTCGATCGTGCTGCATTTCCTCTTTGTTCTTTCAGGAGACTTCAAAAAATTTCCAGGATCAAGTTCATTTTTCTTAAAAATTCATTTTCTCTCATTTTTGACACGGAAACTGTACTTCCAATTTTTATTTGGCAGGAATCCGGAAGCCTAGGAGTTTACACGCCGGATTCGACGACGAATTCCGTGGTGTCGGTGCACGGGTACAATGGCGACAACGGAGAGGAAGTCGCTGGTCACGTCGCCAATCTGGAGTCCCCGACGTCGATCGCAAGTCAGGGCTCTGTGGACGCCCCGATGCCGACGAGTTACGACGTTGCCCCGTGCGTACCGCCGCCTCCTGCATTGGCGCCGTCGCAGCTGGGTCCTTTGCCGATAGTGTCAGTCGCTGGCCCGGGCCAGCAGTTGGCTGCAGGAATCACGACGTCGTCGTCGCCGACTGTGATGCACCCGCATCCTCATAATAATAATAATCACCATCATCAGCCGCAGCAGCACCTACAACAGCCACAGCAACAACCGGGTTTAGTGCATTCTTTGTCGCCGCAGGCACCAGTGCGGTCTCCGATGCCGCAGTCGTCACCAGTGTCGATGGCCAGTCCTGCAGCCAGTGCCGTCGTGACGCAGGGCCAGATGTCCCCGATGATGCCGATGTTGTCTGGCACGTCTCGTCAACATTCGCAGCAGCAGGTGGCGAGTAAGCCGATGCATTCCCCGGGCATTGTGACGGCGGTGCATCAGCCGTGTCCGTCGCCGTTGCCGGCTTACCATCACCAACAGCAGCAGCAGCAGCAACAACATCATCCCCAAGTTACCCCGCAGCAGCAGCAGCATCATCATTATCTCCTGAACCAGCAGATGGCGGCTTCGGGACATTTTTCGAATGCGTCTTCACCGGCCCTGATACCTCCTGTGCCGACTCCGTCGCCTTCGCCGGGGTCCTACATGTCGCCGCATCCGCAGAGCAGTCCGACCCTGTTGCACCAGCAGCAACAACCACAACAGCAGCAGCAGCAACAACCTCCGTCGATGGTGAGGGAGGACATCTCGATTCCACGTTGCATTATGCCAAGACGTCTTTGAAGTTCTTGAAATATTTCCAAGATTTAATTGAATGGACCTTGAGATTTATTTTCCGAATGTCTGAGAGTTCTGTGAATACTTTATTTGTACCGTGGCGTTTGTTTAAATTGAAGGATATAATTCAGCAGAGCCTGGAGCAAAAAATTTTTATATTGCCTTTGTTTCCAATCCTGATCATTTATACAAATTAAAAGTTATCGTCTAGTGCTAACCTACAAAGCAGCCGACGAGACAGTGCCTCATTGAAGTAAACTTAGTCAGTGTTTCAAGTCCCTGATCCCCTCTTGTTATTCCCTCTAAAGTAATACTGTTATTCCCCGCAGAGACTCTTCCTGTGTCTCGCAATCCCTTCATCACAATTTTCAAAGTGGCAATAACAACTACTCAGAATACTTTATTTTGAAATATGATGTTTACAATTTTAAAATCTTGCTCCGCACTACAAAAAATCGACAAGGCTAATCTTGCAATGAAATGCATAGAACCGGAATACTTTTAAAATTTTGCATCCAAAAGAGAAAAATTTGGAGTCTGTTGGAAATGAATCAGCCATGTACAGTATTTACTTGTTACATTATATACAGTACTGTACCGTATATTGTTCATGTGTTGAATAATTATTTCAAATTCCAGTATAGTTTTCTTTTTGCAACTGTTCTATGACAGATATTGAGAATTTTTACCTATGGTGGCCCGCGCGAACTCTCCAACTCTGCAATGTGGCCAGTGACCCTAAAAAATGTGTTAATGAGGCCCTTTGTCCTATCAGAGTTGAGCGGCACAGCTCTGAAGCACCATGTCACTCGAACGTTAGTCCGGCTTAAGCAATCAGTTCGCCTGATTTTAAACAAAATATTTTTACCTGAAAAGAGAGCATTACTGTAATGTTACAGAGAAAATCATAAACTCTTTTCAATCAAAAGATGTGAAATCAATGTGACGAAGAATTAGGATTAGGAGAACCATTCAAAAAATTGACCAGGACTGCCACAATTGTGGTGTTGATAGCACACTTGAGAAGTAAGCTCAGTGAAATTTTCTCGAAGGCGTCTTGTTATTTTCGTGAAGTGGTTGAGCCTTTTCGGAAGCATTTCCTGCGAATATTTAACCAAGTTTTCTTCTTATTCCCGCAGACACACGGCCATCATCTGCCCCAACAGCAGCAACAACAACAACAACACCATCACCCATCGCCCAATGCTGCGCCGCCGCAACAACATTCGACCCAATTCCAACCGAGTCCATCGCAGCAGCAGGTCCAGGCTCAGGCCCAGGCTCAGATGACGCCTCATCAAGCTCAAATCATGCAGCAACACCAACAAGCCCAACATCTGCTCCAACAGCAGCAGCAACAACAGCAAAGACTGATGTCGTATCCGCAGCACCACGCCCGGACTCAGCCACAAATACTGTCGCAACAGCATCCCCAACTGACGGCTGCTCGTCATCCGTCGCCGGGACTCCAGAGTCCACTAGGCCACCACGGGACAAGCAACACTGCTCCGAGCAGTCCTGCAAGTGTACAACAACAGCAGCATGTTCCGCCTGTGCAGCAGCGTCGTCAACGAAACCAGCAGCAGCAGCAACAACAAGTGTCGCATTCGCAGGCGGAAGCCGCTGCGATGGCAAATTACGTCCGACAGCAGCAGCAACAACATCAACAGCAGCAGCAGCAGCACCACCAGCAAGAACAACAGCAACAACAACTACAGCAACAGCAGCTGCAGCAACATCAGCAGCAGCAACAGCATCAGCTGCATCAAATGCAGCAGCACTACGCGTCTTCGTATGCGAATTACCATCATCATCATCACCTCCAACAACAACAACAACAGCAGCAGCAGCAACAACAACAATCTCCTCACCAGCAGCAGCAGCAACAACAACAACTGCATCAGGCGGTGCCGCCAACGCAGACTCCGCCGAATGTCCTCCAACATGCTGCGAATCCAGCAGCTGCTGCTGCAGCGAGGACTGCGGGCGCACTGGCCAAACTACAGCAGCTGACGAACGGGATTTCCGATGCAATACCGACGTCAGAACAGAACGCTGCTGCTGCTGTTACGCCTGGGCCAGGTGGCCAGCAGCATGTGGCGCCGCAAGACGGACTAGGAGCCTATTGCAAACCCGGTCTGGCGTCACCGTATCATGTTCAGGGCTCTGTTCCTCCGGCTGTTGCGTCTAATGTAGGATTGAGGATCCCGTTGGACCCGTCTATGGCGTCACCGAGCACCACCGGAAGAGAACCCGTGATCCCGCTGCAGGTACCATCAGCAGTGAATGTGAATGAAGCAGCAGCACCTGCGGGCCACTCGTCATCATCAACGTCGTCGTCGTCGAGGAACACTGGAGCACCTGGGAATGGGCAGCAGCAACAGCATCCCACAACAATGACCATACCCCAACCTCAGCCGCAGCATCGGTTAGTGAAGAGGAGGATTATTTTTTAGAGGGCGAAAATAAGAAAAGATTACCTATTACTTCAGGTTGGACCCTGTATGAGCATTGTATCTGGTTTTTCTTCCATGGAGGTGAAAATTTACGAGACATTTTGAAGAGCAAGCTTGGACTTTGATAATGAGAAACCAGATTCTATTCAATATTTTGCTTCGTGAAAATGTATAATGAAACGTGTCAGTCATAGTCATCCGTTGCTGACTTGTTTTAAGCTTTTTCTGGAGAAGTTTTTTTTTTCCGTGTTTGAAAAGAGTCTAAGTTGCGTCTGGCCGCACTATGATTTTTACTCCCATACTGGACGCCAAGGGTTTTTTCTTGCTGCTGCATTGATATCTCAAGTAATACGAGGGTTGTCCCAGTTGGACGCGACCTGTGATATTTTTAGAGTTGGTATCATTGTCAAAGAAAAAATTGTGACAGTGTCCGTGATGTTCTAAGGTTCTGGATTTTTTTCAATTTTTAAAGCAGTTTTTCAATTTACTGCATGATGATGAGTAAAAAACATTCCAGTTACAACCAGAGTTCTCCACCCATGACATGGAGTGCTAAGATGTATCAGCCTAGCGAAACAGTTGGATTTTTGTTTTGTTTTACATTTTATAAAATATAGAAAACATAATGGGGGAAAATCAATTTTTTTTAGCTGACCTTGACACATTTTTAGCACCCCAGGGACATCGTGGAGAACTCTGGCTGTGAATGGAAAGTTTTCATTCATCATCCTGAAGTAAATTGATCAAAACTTTTTTTTTTAATTCGAAGAAAAACCGAGAACCTTGAAACATTACGAGCAATGTGACAATTTTTTTTTCTAATCACACCAACTGTAGAAATATCAGAAGCCGCGTCCAACTGGGACAACCCCCGTAAATTGGGTTATTGTCGGTTATATCAGTGGAATTTTTAAGGCCCCATGCTCGAGATGGGTCTTGGTTTCCGAGGAACACAAGTGAAATGCTAAAAGATTTTTTTTTAATTACTGTATTTATTTTTTTTTTTTTCGTTTAGGAGATCTGCTGGCAGCGGTCGAGTTGGGAAAAATAATTCGTCTGGATCTGCGGTGACTGCCAGTGCGGCGTCCTCATCATCGTCTCCTTCGTCCGCCGCGGCGGTGGCGTCTTCATCATCGTCACGATCCAAGTCAACCGGGAACTCGGGATCCGGCTCATCATCATCAACAACAACAACCGCCGCCGCGGCGGCAGCGGCGGCGGCTGCAGCAGCAGCAGCTGCTGCGGCTGCTGCGGGATCCGTGCCCAATGTGACGATCTCTTCTAACCTGATGTCGCAGTACCCGCTGCAGTACCAACGGATGGCGGCCGCGCATCAGGCCGCCCCGGCCATGCCGCCAGCCTACATCAGTCCAGCTGCAGCGCCGTTTATGAACCAGCCTGGCAATCATCACCTGCCGATGCCGAACGTCATGAACATGATGAACATGCATCCTCACCACCCGCATCATCATCATCCTCACCATCATCCGCACCATCCAGCTGGCACACATCACGGCTACGAGGCCGCCATGCATCAACCGTCGGCAGCCGCGGCGGCGGCGGCGGCGCAGAACATGAACGTGTACGGGAATCCTTACTATGCCAACTTCATGCCTCCTATAAATTCGGTCAGCATGAACTCGGCCATGCGACGGTGAATGTTGTTCTCTTGAAATGCGAAAAAGAGGAGAGAAAATGATGTTGAAACGGCGCATCATCAGAGCGAAAAAATAGGGGGTGTGATATTCTGGTAATTCGGCTTCTGGGATAGCTTCCTAAAATTTTTATTAATTTTTGTATTTTTGTTTCATATCAATTGAATAGTTGTAACTTAACTTCTGTTCTAGTCCAAGAAGTTCGATGTTTCATTTTTTCGGAGAGAATAGCGACGACTCGTCTGGTGTTGAACCGTAAGGAATTAATTGCCCCCTGGCCATCGTGAATAATTCATGATTTATTGAAAGAAACTTGAACGGAAAGCCTTTTTTTCTGGCTGTCTCTTTTAAAGTGCGTTCATCTTGAAATTTTATTTTGTAAATGTTAGTACCTTTTGTCGATTTTTTCTGAGGAAGGAGTGGAGAAAACTCCGCTTTCTTCATTGATCGAAATGTTTCGCTTGTCCAAAAAAGCTTCTGTTGTGGGGGGTGCTGAAGTTGAAGTTTCAGTTAACAGTTCTCATTCACTTCAAGTAATTTGCAGTTTCCCGAGACGTGTTCAATAAGAGTTCGAAAGGTCACGATGTTCTGTCTGTTGACATGGGAAAGTTGTTTCACAGCACATTAATGTTTTTGAACAACACCCTCTTGAAGTCAGCGGCATTTCAACTGAAGCCTCCGCTAGTGCTCTAAAACCCTTATACTGTAGTTGAAGGAATTGACGTCACTGTGTGTATCAACTCCTGTTCTCTCGCCTGAAAATGAAAAGAAAAAAATTACTCAAATGGAAGCACTGTAGAAGCTTGAGATACCGTAATATTCATCCCGAGCGCCAGAAACCTGAACGAGCCCCGAACTGAAAATCAAAGCTTGATGGTGTGGATAATATGCATACATATACATATATTTTGTTTGTTTGTTTTTTTCTGGCCCGAGAAAGAGTGCTGTTGTGTGGCAGAATGCATTTTTCTCATTGTATCTGAACTTGGGTCGACTGTGTGTGTGTTTTGAGAGGAATCGAATATGTGCTCCTTTTTGAGGCGTTTTCGAATGATTGAGGGTTTTTTTTTTCCGTGAGCGGAAAAATGTCCGTAGAGCTTGAAAATCAAGGTTGAAGTGTTTGTTCGTTTGCCAAACGTGAATCCGAAGACAGCTTTCGACGATTTTAATGAGTATACTTGTGGCATTACTGCGTCTCCAAGTCCGTTTCTCGATTTGTGCTGTGTGGTCTCGGAGGGTCGTTGATTGATTGATTGTTGAATTTTCACTTGGGTTTTTCACGAACGAAACAAACAAAGAAGAAGAGCGCATTCGTGCGAGTTTTTAAGAAAAGAAATTAAAGCTAGAATTGCGTCGTTTGGGGGATTTTTTTTAATCTTGAGAGTAATTGGTCGTTCAAATCGCCCGCCCGGTTTGTGTAGGTGGTGAGCTGTGTACCGGAAATTTCGAATGTGTCATTTTTTTTTTTTTTGAAGAGCATTCGCGTCTGTTGCTGAGATTTTCTTCTTTCTGTCGCGTGTGATTCAGTTTTGTTTCTTTGTTTTTTTTTTTTCATTTTGCAGCTTGTTTTTTTTTTATTTAAACGAAGTGGGGGGTGAAATGAAAGTTTAATCCTCCGGGCAAGAGACGGAACTTTGAGGAAGAAGGTTGTCATTTGGGGATTCGTACGGATATGCAAATCTCGCGTTTAGGAGGAGGAAAAGAAATGTGGTCCTTTTTGTAAATTTTTTACCTTTTTGTTGGAGAAGGTAAGTTATTTTTTCGGAGAGAGAATTTCGGAACCCTGGGTGTGGAAGTCGTTTTATTTTTAATTTTTTTAGTGAGCTCGAAGCTTTGATTTTTATAAGAATCCTTCGATGCGTTCAGTATTAAGTAAAATACTTTTTTTTTTCTCAAAATAAAGCGACTTCGAACGCGTGAGAAATTGCAGTGAGCTTATCTTCATCCCTTGAACGGCGTGACATTTTTTTGGTAACAGATACATTTTCTCGTGTGTTTTCCTGGCACAATTGAAGATCAGTTTGAATGTGTGCGAGGCCCGGTGAAAAACGCAGAAAATCGATTAAACTTTCCCGCGAAAGTTGTTTATCTCGTCCTTTCCCTGATTTTTATATTTTATTTTTTACTCGAGGGAAGTTTCTGTGTGTTCGCTTTGCTGCGTGGGCATCTTTTCAAAGGATCGAGTTAGCGCACTTGTACCTGTGTCATGGCAGGTGATGGTACGAATTTTGGCAAACGGATTGTATAGGTTTTCTTTTTTTTTTTTATAAATGAAATGACGCTCTGATGCTGATCCATGAATGTTTTAATTCTTAGGCTCATGAGTTTGAAGTGTACGTTGGCGGGTTTATTTGGTTCTATTTTCTTGAGATTACTGATGGGAATGGAGTCTTTTGTTCTGAGCTATTTCTATTCTTGCATTTTGAGCAGAGATGTGCGAATTGCGTGAAATTCTTTTGTCCTTGCGATTGGATCAATTTTCTGAGACTTGATTGAGATTTCCTCGTTTCTCTCTCTCGTTTTGGATGGAAAAAAAATTTGTCCGTGTCTCATCATGAAAAGCTGCGAGTATTCTTTATTTGTTCAAGCACTTTCCTAGGCGCTGTGGGAAATCTTTGACATTGTTAGTTGAGAAAAAAATCAAGAGCTTCATCAGCATTCAATTTTTATGAGAAGGTGTAAAGAAGAAGCCACCATGATGAGTGTACAACATGCACCTTAATTTGTTTTCAAAAATTGGGTGTACACAGGCACAAAATGTCTGCTCAATGAATGCGCACCAGCTTTTGGTTGCTTGGAGTATGTTACATGTACAATACATCATAGTAACCCTGTAGATGTATGAGAAATACAAACAGTGTAATCCTGGAAAAGTACCAAAATTGTATCCTGCACAGCTGTGCACGCTTGCAACCCCAGAGTATCCAATCTACACCAGTTTTGTGATTACAGAAAAAATCAAAACTTCCTCACTTGGGTACTTCGAGTTTTTCTTAATTTTTTTTAACTTCAGCAGCCGCATCTAAAAGTGAGTAAAAAATTGAAAAGCGGGTGAAACAATGTTTATTTGCCTAAATCTTCAAATATTATGCTAATACAGTATTTCTCTGATACATGAAATTTTAGATAGTGCAAACTGACCACACACAGAGTGATAGGTCATTATCTTTTTTTTTTAATTTTCATGAAAAAAACACCTGTTGATACACTTGCATGGATATGGTATGCCTTCAGACTCCTCACTGAAATGAGTGAAATCTAGTGCATCATAATGATGTTTCATACCAAGGGGTTCCAAGAGCAACTTTGCTCTACCAGCACTTGTATTCTCTGACTGACCTACTACTTCCACAATAACACTACTTTTTGTCTGGTTATAGTATGTCTAGTTATAGTATATACCCCTGTATAAGCACAAAGTAAATTCTTTAAAAAAATGTTCAGTCTCAGGACTGTACTGCTATGCATGATAAAGCAGTTATACCCAGCATGCTGGTGCGATCATTATACACAAAATGATTTTTCCATGTACTGTTTTCTTTTTATCTTTATTAGAATTTCATAGCTTTTCCTCTTGAAAAATCATGACGTACAGGTAACACTCTCTCTCTACAAAAAAATCTCAATAAGGGACCAGAAAAAAGGTCTTTATATGGAGAGAATTTAATTGTACTTGAATAACCTGAGGAGAGAATCCTATATTGCTATATAGGACTACAAAAAATTTGTTTCACAGAGAAAATTGTTATAGAAAAGATTGTTGTTGAGAGAGTCCACCTGAACATTAACTGTACAACTTCTAAAAGCCAGTGCTGATTATTTAGATAAACTAAAAATGAAAAGGAAATCCTTTGTTACTTCATATTGAGGTGAAAATGCATGGAAATACTGTAATTCCTTCAAGACCTGTATGTATGAAACACAGGATGAAGTAAGGACAAAGGAGGAGTCAAATTTTTCACTTTCACGCACCATTGCAATATCCTCATTTATTTAGGAAAGTTTTTCATATCCCAATGTTCTGGAATGTATTTCAGGATGTGCAGGTCAGCAAGATGAATTTTGAATTTCTTTTTTCAAATCTGGGGTTGAAGATGGCGAAGGCTTATTCTTCTGCTGGTGGTTTTTTTTTTCAAGGAAAAAACTTTGTCTGGATTGAGCCAAATTCTTAAATTTTTGATGGCACTTTGGCTTATGCTGGATGATTCCATAGAGCTTGGTTAGATTCTGTTGGCTGAAAGCAAGAGAACCATAAAATGCAGAATGTACATTCCAAATAATTAGTTTCCAGTTGAAGGCATGTCCAAATGTTGGTACTGTACTTCTAAGCAGCAGCAGCACTGCCATGTTGAGTTTTCTATGGGTTTTTTCAGTAATGGTCTTAGTTTGTTCAGTGAGGATCTGCCTCCCCTGGGTCAGGTCTCCTCCACTACATAATTCATATTCCCATTATGGTAGAACACATTTCAGAGGAAAATAAGCTGGAGTCCTCCAATCACATGCACCTTTATGTGGAAAGAAAGGAACAATCAAGGTTCCTGATGATGGACTCTCTATAGGACTCTGATGAGTACA